AACAAAAAGCATCCCTGTTTTGAATACCATCATTCCTTCAAAGTGACGTGGAGAGAACCAGCCTCAGCTCTCAGATGTTTTGCCATCACCATGGGTAAATTCCAAATTTAATGAAAAGCCACCACTTTGATAAGAAAAGAAAAACACAGACACCTTGATAAAATCCTTGATTTCAAAAGGCAGCTTCTTGCAGGAGTTTAGGATCTCTGCAGTCTCTGCCTTCACTTCAATATCCCCTGTTGGCATTTTCTAGGACAAAAAGGCAAGAAAAAAATTAAACTCAAAACAGTCGGACAAAGGTATTTCATAGATGGTCAAAGGGAAAAAAAGAAGCAATGTGATTACCCTCCCTGCCTTCTAACACATTGTGTATGTCAGAGAGCTTCTCCCAAGGACAGATTGCTCCCAGATTTCCCTTCTGTTCAGAGAAACACAAGTCACCGAAGATGGCAGCTTCTTTCCCAGTAGCGTAATGGTCTCTAAACACATTAGCCTCAGCAAAACCACAAAGTGTAGGTTTCAGTGAGCATGAGCAGAATCAGCCCTTAATATGAATTAAAAAAGGCAAATTATGAGGAACTTCTCAGAACTTCCAGTTCTAAACACCAGTTCTCAGAACTGGTCTTCTTTTGACTCTATCCCAAGGGAGGGCAGGCAGCTCCCTTCACATAGCACTGAGGCACAGCAAAGTTCATTTGATCCTGCAGGACTTTTGCTGTTTACCAGGGGAAAGGACACACAACCTTCCCACAAAATGAGAAATGAATGAAAGAAATAAAGGCATTGTTTAAAGCCTGGATTTTAAGTGGACATCTACAAGATGGAGCAAAAAAGAATTATGATCATAAATGCAGCCCTCTTTCTAGACATGCCAGTTACATGTACAATCCTGAAAGACCAACCTGCAGCTGATTACAATGACAGCTGAGGAATGCAGAACATGAAAAAATTATTCAACCTCTGTTTCCTAAACAAGGAGACCAGCAAAATCAATGAACAAGTCACCATGTGCCGTGGAACCCAAAATGACACTATTTTCAAGCAAAAGAAATCCCCACAACACTTTCAAAGCCTGGAAAAGCCAGCATTATCCTTACAAAGGGCTGGGATCAAATTTAATTTGTGGGTGCCTGTAATGTGCTTTGAGATTCTCCTGCTATCTGACACAGCACTTATTTCACCTCACACTATCTGAGGATGGGCTGTCACACAACCAGAGCCCATGGCAATGTTCTGACACGGAGCCCACCATCATCCCACCATCCAGGATTGTTTCCTTCAAGGAATAAAAGCCCTGAGAGCCCTCCCCACCCCATCCTCACCGGATTCTCCTGCCCCAGGGGCCGAGGGGACACTGTCCCTGTCACTCTCACCACAGACTCCACTGGGGCGTTGGACAGGAGCTCCTTCACGTGGGAATGTGCCTGCAGGGAGAGGACAGAGCCTCACAGAAATTCAAAGAACAGGACAAAGACACTGTGGCCAAGCACCTCAATCCAAAATCACTCTTAAGGCAGGGGAAACAGCACTGATGCTCATGTTGCAGTCCCAGGTCAGGGCTCTCAAGACACTTCAATCGACTTATGAGTCAGAGCACTCAGTTTAACAAAGTCCTTCCTTCTCTCTGGGGCTGCTGAAGCCAAGCTGCCAAAGGGAAAATAAAAACACAGACTCGTTTTGGTAGCACTTACCTCATCCTGAGGAATGATGACCTGGGTCAGTCCCTGGAAATCCCTCAAAACCAGAAACAGGCCTTGTCTGATCCATGAAAAGCACAAAAGGAAGAACATTTTTTTCACTAATTTAGTAGATTCTGCTTTTTAAAGCATATGGCAACTGGCTACACTTTCAGTACCCTGCAACTCATCCCAAAGCACTTCCAAGTACTGAATTACAGGCACTTTTCCCACACCTGAACCTAACCTGAACAATTTATTTCATGTTGTGGCCAGCCTCAGACAACATACAAATAACCAGGAGAGGCAGAATTTTAACTTGAGCTTTCATGCACACAGAGCAGGGATTCTGGACACGTGAATTTTCCTACTGGGAAACATCATCCAGCTAAAATCAGTTAAATGAGCAATGAAACTAAAGTTCACGTGGAATAAAAACAACAACAACAAAATATAATCATAAGTCAAAAAGAGGAACACTTGTCCCATAAAAAGTTCCACATGAGCAACCCACACTGCCAGACCCAGAACCATAAATCCTGATTTCTTCAAACTGCAGCAGGGACAGATGCCACTGTGCTTTATCCATCAAAAAAACTGCCCAATGGGACATGCTGTGGTGCCTTTAAAAACAAGATCACCACAATCACATTACAATAACCCTAACTCCTTTTCCTGGGTCTCCATCCACAACTGCTCAATGATGAGACGCTCAGGACCTCCTAAAATCTAAAAACCCATGCAGACCATCAGTAGAAAGCAATGCTGGATGAAACACAGCTTAGGCTGGATCTGGCAAATAATCATCTCCATTTTCATCATGGTTTGCACTTACCTTTGATATTGAACCCATCCATACAGGGTCACCTTCTGTCCCACATGAGCAGAACGCAGCTCTCCACACGTGTTGGTCCGAGTGACGAAACTGTTGAAGTCTTAAATAAAAAAAATTAAAATTAATATAAATATATAAATAAAAACTTCTCATGGCTTTTGCAGATGAGACAGAATAAATAATAGAGTTTTCCCTCCCAATACAACCTACACATACATGGAGAAGTTATTCATATCTAGATCTGCACTTAGGTACTATGTCATAGACATGAAATGAAGCCAGTTTAGATATATTTTAAACAGGGATTAATTATGTTTCTCAATTAAATCTTCATAAAGATACTGGAACACAGCTTCGATGCGAAGTGTTGCCCTGCAAATTTCGGGAGCAAGAGAAGCAAAAGTCACAGATCTGAGGGATGCTGACAATTCCACATTTAAATCTAGAATCATAGCATAGTTCTGGCTTCAAGGACCTTAAAGTTCATTTCATTCCATGCCCCTGTCGTGGGCAGTCCTGCCACTGCAGTTCCCGGTGGCAACACGGCAGAATAAGCCTTAACAAACCAAAAATTAAACACACGCAGAGTAATCCCACCATGCAGGTGTAAAATGAACAGTGACTGCCTGAAACAACTGGGAAAAGGCCTGAACCACGGGTATAGAAAACTTTGCACAGACCCCCGTGTGCCTGTAATCATGGCCTAAGTTATAGAACCAAGCACACCATCTACAGAATGTGCAAGAGGTTCAGCTTGCAAGGAGAAGCCTGAAGGATACCGCTACCTGGACACATACAGATAATTTTATGAGCCTATCTCACTACCTTCACTACTATCACAGCCTTTAGAATTAAAAGAAATTTAGAGAAGGCACTTAATAAAGTGATAGAGGGAAAATAATTTGCCGCAAGCGTGATATTATTCGACCGTGTGGACTACCCTGACCTATATCCCGGGGGAAAAGGAACCCAAATCTCGAGGGGATGAGAACACCGCTCCTCCTCACCTGGAGCCGCGGCGGCAGCGGCCG